ACTAAAAAAAAAAAAAAAAAAAAATCATATGTGGTTCACATCTATTTCTAATGGACAGATGAAAATAGTCACACAAGTATTTCATCTATACCTGTAACTTATAACTTTTCTTCAGTACTAAAATTATTTATAAATATCTCAAGCTCCCTCCTATACCATAAATTCCTTTGGGGCATATTTCCTATAACATCTTACACATAAATAATATGAGATTTAAAATGTAGGGCTAAGGATTTAGCTCGGTGGCACCACACCTGTCTCATACACATAACTTTGTTTTTTTGGAGACAGGGTCTTGCTATGTGGTTCAGGCTGGCCTTAAACTCACTGTGTAGCCCAGGCTGACCTCAAACTTGAATGGATCCTCCTGCCTCAGCCTCCCAAGTGCTGGGATTACAGGCATGTGCCACTATGCCACACTTCTTGAAACTTTGAATGAAGGTCACATCAAGAAAATATTGCCAAGACAGCCTGTATTTGCATGCTAAAATGCTTTAAAAAGACCAAAGTCTCGTCATTAGGCCTGGCACCAACCTAACAGAATCTAAGATACAACAGCAAACTCATTAGAGGCTGCAGGATGTCTAGCCCTGTAGTGAGCCCAGAGGTACATGCCTTCACATATTGTGGGAAGACCCTGACATAGCTGAGAACTAGAGTTCTCAAGCATACCCAGTGATGATGGATGTCACTCTGCACAAAGTCAGAGTACTGGGAAGCATCTGCTGATAAATGCACAATTTCCTTAGTGAAAAACTGAAAGCAATCTAAATACTGAACAAGGGAATGGTTTAAAAAAAAAAGCAACACACACAGAAGGTGTAAGATTGCAAGGACATCCAAAAAAAAAAAAATTGCATGGCCATCAAAAGAAGGGATTTAATGTCACAGAAAGGTGTATTTAAGAGCTCTGGAAGGACTGACAACAGTGGTACACACCTGTAATCTCAGCTACTCATGAGGCAGAGGCAGGAGGATATAAATTAAAGGCTGGCCTAGGCAATTTAACAAGACTATGTCAACATCTTAAAAGGGGTTCGATCCCCAGCAGTGCATGGGAGGGGTGACACACTCTATGAATGGTGTGGGAAGAACGCTGCACAATGATATTTCAAATATTCCTTTAAAGAACATTACAAACATGATTAGAAAAGTTATACCAAATGGCAATCAGTGGCTATCACTACAGTGCACAGTATCTCTGAATAACATTTTTACAATTTTCATTCTCTTATTCTTTTGCTCACCTTTGTGAATTTTCTTCTGATATGTAATTATTTTTAAAAAACCTTTTTTTTCCCTCCTATGTCTCTCCATGCTAAATACAGACCAAGCACAGGGGCTGGGGATTTAGCTCAGTGGTACCGTGCCTGCCTTGCAAGCACAAGGTCCT